CCCTGGCTGCTCGTTATTGCTCGATGGCAAACTCAAAATATACATACGTAAGGTCTTTTGAGCTCCCGGATAATATCCTTCCTGGTACATACATGGTAGTACGGATTGACGGTCATGCATTTCATCGGTGAGCCATAGGCGCTGGATGCGATGAATGCGGGTTTGATCGAAACATTCCCAAGTTCAGGTTCTCTGCGGATCATGCATTCGAGAAACCGAATGATGAAAGGGCATTGCGCTTGATGGATGCTGCCGCCATTCATGTCATGAAAGCTTACCCCCAAGTGGCGTTGGCATTCGGAGAAAGCGATGAGTTCAGGTGGGAGGATTTCTTGGTATAATATGCCCGTATTGACATTTGAGTATCCTAGTTTTCTTCTCAGAAGGTCTTGCGATTTGTATGGTCGCCGGAGTAGGTAAGGGAGAGAAGATTATCTAAGCATCCTATTGATTCCACTTTGATATAGCAAGATCTCCAGTCTTTTCGCATCTCTATTCTCTGCAGCGTATACCCACGCCTGGGCGACATTCTTTCCAGACACGCCACTCCAATATCCTCCTTCCTTTGATGGGCGCGTAGTGGCCTATCCTTCATCGACTGAGGTGCGAGATTACTTTGCGTGGCGTCAGGCAGACAGTATGTATACAATTCGGATCCGACGAACGTATCTGATACCTTGATCCCCTAGCTCACATCAACAACCTCTACAACACGATATTCTGGGCACTCATACTCAAGGGAGGGCTCAGCAATCAAGATGCACACGAGGCACTCAAAGTTGGTCTTTTCCCTCCAGCTCCTTCAGTAGGCTGACTGAGCTTGATACCAAGGGTACTATATCCAGTCAGAAGCAAGAGATGCTATTCAGTCGGTTTGGGATTAATTACAATACCTTACCAAGTAGGTACCGTAAGGGCAGTGTCCTTTATCGCAAAGAGTCCGTTGTGGAGGATCTTCTGATCGACGCTGCGGAGGACCACGCCGATGCCAGCCCTGCATTGGTGGCACCAACAGCGGCACAGTCACCACAAACGAAGTCTAGAACCCGGCGGTCTAAGAAAGAGATTGTGGTGGAACACTGTGATATTATGGAGCCTCAGTTCTGGGAAACTAACGGCTCCATATTGTGAGTGTGCGTGCGTGTGACGATATGGGATGGGATGGATGGACGGCATGGAAACAATGAAGAGAATACAACCAGATAACGGCCGACCAGTACGGACAATTTAATGCTGCGGCCACGAAACGTCGCTGGAGAAGGTGCGGCATCCTGTTGACGAATGCGCGTGCCGACCCCGGAGGTTTCTAGAATATGAGCCAACCTTACCCAATTATGTATGGCAAACTATATCGTCTGTTTCAAAAAATACATTATTAAATCGAGTAAATTATCTGTGCATCGCTGGGCATTTTTATCAATTTCTTGAATTTATGGGTGGCTTTACAGGGCCGCGTCGAACCCCCTTTAGGGAGGCTGCGGGAGGCCATCACTTCATTCGCTTTGTCACCAGCCGATGCGCACACAACTCAAACTCCAACCACAACCATGGCCCAGAAATCCCAGGCGGACGCTGGCTTCAACCTCAGCAATAACGAAGATTTCACCTTCTTCGACCAATATGTCGATCCTGCTTGGCCATCTTCTGGCTTTGAGCAAGTTCAAGCGGGTACAGACGACAATATTTTCGCTGGGCTAGGA